ACCTAGCGTCATCATGTTGGGCAGTGAAGGGTTTGGGTTGAGTGCCCATATCAAGTCCCACGCAGATTCGACTGTCAGCATTCCCGGGGCAAGAAACGTCACCGAGTGGGGATATGAGAAGGATCCCGCCAGAGTTGACAGCCTCAACGTAAGTGTTGCTGCGGCGATTCTGATGGAACAGTTTCTACGAATCCCGATCTTGATCACTGAGGCGGTGGCAAAGAAGACAGTGATTAAATGATCAGGGGATAGTTCTGAATTAGAGCCATTATCTGTATATAGCTTGTACAATACCCTTAGCGTATTAATATCTTTATTCTCCAAGTGCAGTCAGTCATGTGGGACAACTCAATGATATGATGCCATGAAAAGTAGGCCAACTACCGTGGTACGACTGAGGAGCCTTGTCGAAAAACTACTACATCTGACGTCTTTTCTATATCGAGTAATGATCCGAAAAGGTACTTGTTGTACAATTCACATTTCGCGAATGAAAGGAGGAAAAATGAAAGTAGGAAATTTCATGAACCACGACTCGTCGATGACATCTATTGCCAACGCCATACCGAACACTCGAAAAGATACCAACCCATTCCATGGCCAAATAATTTTCAATATAAGGTACAGGATAGTCATAAAGATTTTGTTGATTGGAGCGAGAACGGAGGAAAAGACTGAATTACTTTTTCTTGCTCTTGGACTTGGATGCAGTAGTCGATGAAACACTGGCTGCTCGAGAGGTCGAGGCGGAATTTGCTTTGCTGCCACTTTTGACGGCCTTGACCTGTTTGTTCTGCATACCGTGTTAGTTGCCATTCACATGCGTCTTGGTGGGGGAAGCAGTCAACTTACCACTGCGCCGTTTTTGCTCTTCTTCTTGGCTGGTGCGCCAACTTCCTCGTTCTCTTCATCCTCTTCTTCACGATCACGTCCCCGGCCCTTGCCGGCCTCGCCATTCACTCCAACTTCAAACTCTTTAGCGACTGTGTTCAATAGTGTAGTGCAGCGACGGCCGATCTCGACCGGTGTCCGGCTGAGAAAGAACCAATCAAAACGGAAAAGGGGAGACTCGCGAATCTCATCGCGAATCTTCTCGTAAAGACCCTCGCCATCAACTCCGTACTTGTCCAGCATCACAAGAAGGAATCTGTCTTCTTCTTCTGTGTAAACCTTCTTGTTGGTGGTCGACACTGTGTAGTTGATCTTGAGCTGTTGCAGAGGAACGCGGTACATTTCCATTTTTTTCCGAAGCATCTTGCGTTGATGGCTCATTTTCCGGAGCTTCTCTTCACCCTGCTCGATAATACGGATATACTTGGGGTAGTCTTGAATTTCGGTGTATCGCTTCCAGAAGACTTTAGCGTACTCTTCCACTTCGGCTGCATCTTTGCTGTCCACTTCGGTAGCGATCCCTTCATAATCAGTACGGCCGAACTTGGCAGACCCGTTGATGAACTGCTGAAAGTCTCGGCGATTCCACGTCGCGAAACCCTCTTCGGACATCCGGGCCTTTTCCGCCTGTTCCTCCTCAGTCAACGGAACAGCATTGTCAATTTCTTGCTGCTCCAGGTCACGCTCAGCTTCTCGCTCACTGAGCTCCTCTTCAGGGCCCTCAGGAAGCTGTGCCTTGTACCCAATTTCTTTGTGGAAATAAGCTGTTTCCTTCTCTTGAAGTTCTTGGAGACCCGGGGGAAAGAATTGCCAATCGTGGATGGATATCTGCTTTGGCGCACGTGGAACCTTCGGCTTTGTTTCTGCCGTCCTTCCGCCGGTGGCCAGCGCCTGACGGTAGTATTTGTCGATGGAGTAAAACTGTTCCTTTCGCTCGCGCTTTGCTGGGTTGATCCAGTTGATACCGATATCTTTCTTTTTCTCTGTGAAATCCTGCCCGTTCCATTCGTAAGCGCTCTCAGAGCTAAATTTCTGCAGATCGTCGATGCCCAACTTCTCGTACTTCTTGTTGAGTTCAGCAGTTCGCTCCTCACCCTTGCGCAAGATTGCATCGATATCATCATCGGACAACTGCTTGTCATTAACTAATGTGCCAGTAGCACCTTTTGTGTTGAAAACGTTTGCGGCTCCGTGCTGGATCATGCCAAGCAGCTCATCCTTCGAGGCTGCGTTCTTGACTTGTTGCTGAGCACGGCCTTGTTGAATGACAAGCTGATCTAAGCGCAGTTTCTGCGCTGCTCGCTCCAGAACCTTCTCCTCTATAGCATTTTCTGTAACGAATCTAAAGACCACCACTTGCTTGGTCTGACCGATACGATGGGCACGGTCCATCGCTTGCAGATCAGCCTGAGGATTCCAATCACTATCGTAAAGAACGACAATGTCCGCAGTCGTCAGGTTGATACCCAGCCCTCCTGCTCTTGTTGTAAGAAGGAAGATGAATTTATCTGAACCCGGCTTATTGTACTCGTCAATGGCGGCGATTCGATCTTCATGCGCCGTTGTACCATCTATCCGGCAGTATTTGTAGTCTCTAAAAACACAATAGTCTTCCAGAATATCGAGCACACGACTCATCTGTGAGAATATGAGAACTCGACTTCCTTGCTTCTGCATGCGTGCAAGTAGCTTGTCCAGAATGACCATTTTGCCGGAATTAAAGACGAGATGCTCGTCAGTCGTATAAGGAGGACCGGGTTCGGCGCCCTCAAAAAGATACGGATGGTTGCAACATTTGCGCAATTGCATGACGATATTTAACAAACGCGTTTTTGATTCGCGTTTCCCAGCAGCGCCGTTGACCGCATCGATATCTTTCTCAAGAATCTTCTGATACCACTTGACCTGCATTTCCGACATAGGCACATAGAGATTGACTTCTTTCTTTGGCAGCAAGCTTTTTTCAACGTCACTCTTCACACGACGGAGAAGGAAGGGCCGCAAAACGCGGTGTAGCTGCTGTACAACGGTATCTTGGTCGGCATCTTGACTGGAGAACCATTGATCGAAAGCTTCCGAGTCGCCGAACACATCCGGCAATAGGAAGTTCAATAGAGCCCAGAGTTCATGCAAATTGTTCTGCAGGGGTGTACCGGTGATCAACAAACGATTGCGCGAATTGAAAACACGAATGATCTGGGCTAGTGACGATTCCTCATTCTTGATCCGATGCGCCTCGTCGATGATGATATACTCCCAAGCGAACTTCTTAAGGTGCGCCTTCTCTCTGAGAACCATCTCGTAGCTGGTGATGCAAACATCGAAATCTTCGTCAAGAAGTCGCTCATTGATGAGCTTATGACGAGCCTCCTTGTCGCCCTGGAGCACCAGGACATTGACTTCTGGCGTCCATCTGTGAAATTCACGCTTCCAGTTATCAAGGGTGGACTTGGGGACCGCGACAAGATGAGGTCCAGTGATATCGCAGACATGTCGCAAGTACCCCAGGAAGGAAATAGTCTGTAATGTCTTACCCAGACCCATTTCATCAGCCAGGATACCAGAAATGCCGTTCTCGTGTAGGGAGACCAGCCAATTCAGTCCTGCAACCTGGTAATCGCGCATCTCGCCCTGAATAAAGGGGGGGGATTCCCGGAAGACCGTAGCAGTTCCGGCACCAGTTTTTTCGTCTTTTAGCAGCTCGGCATCTTCCTCTTGTTCGGTTCGGCGACGTCTATCATTTCCTGCGCCCCCTGTGCGTGAAGATCCCTTCTTCTTAGCCCTGGCGTCCTCTTCAGCGTTCTGTCGGTCAATCTCTGCCATGATCTCCTTGATTCGGGGGTTGGGGTTGGTTTCGATGAAGTGGCGGAACAAATCGGTGAGGCCAAGAAGATAACGAAATCTTCGGATAGAGTCGTCTTCCTATGACGGCGCAGAGCCAAATGTAAATGCCTGTACCAACACAGTGAGGCTGCACACAAAACCCACCTTTGACTCGTCCAATCGCCCATGCTTCTTGCCGAACATGCTCTTCCTCATTTGGAAAGCCTCAGATCTCCTTCTCCGGCCATCAATGGGAGCGGCATCGCCAGCAACACTGCTTGCCGTTGTGTTAGGGTTCGTGTCGGAGTCCTGATTTCCTGCCATTAGAGAGTCGGAATTGCCGATATCAATGGGGTTAGGCGCAGTTACCGTGTAGTCTGGCGTATCTTGATAGCCCTGTAGAGCGAGAACGATTAGTATCATCTGATAGATGAAAGTCAAGTGCCAAAGGCACAGCAAGCTCGAATCAGACTTACCGTCATTGGCGCGTCTACATTATCAACGGGTACTGACGTGACAGCGTCTTCATTTGCATCCGTCATTGGAGTGTCTGCCTGTGAAGGTGTATCGGAGTTGAGGACTTGTGAAGGAGCCATTTTCGTTCTCCGCGCACTGAGCGCAAGTGTTCCTTATGACGCGAAACACGTCGAGAGTGCTTCGAAAGAACGACAAAAGACCGAAGAAGAACTTGAAAAGATGGAGCCGATATTAGCTGGGCTGTCCTGTAACTTTGTATGATGGTTATGGCGGCCGAATCCTTAAGCCTCAAGGTTAAGGACAGGAGAGGAAGTTGGACACTGAGGAACGATAGAATGTCGCCAGTCGCGCTGGGATGGCAAATGGACTTGCATTTCATCTGAGCAGCAAGGCGACAAGACGCGCCTATTGGTTGAAGCGCGCAGCGGCTGCTGACTAAGCGCCGAGTCCTCCTGCCGCGGATTAGGAGTTTCCCCGCGGTGGATCACGTTACCGGGACAAAGCAAAGAAAAGAAAGATCACCTGCACAAGAGCATCGTTTACAGTCCATCAATCACCAGCTGGCATCCGCGCTTCTACGTCGCCTTTCTTTCTCCTTTTCCTTTTCTTTTCTCTATCTGCATCCTTGTCAGTCATTGGTTTCAGTGCCTGACATACTCCTTTTTACCCTTTCTTTCTGGCTACATCATCGTGACTTGATTGGCCTTTTGTTCACGGAGCACGGTTCACCTCACCCCTCCTTGTGGCACCAAAGCAACTGCCGTCTTCAATTTTCCATCAGGGCGGCTTCTGTCGCAGTTATAGCAATCATGGACTCCATGAGATCTTTGAACACATCTTTACCGAGCTCGACGCCTCGCCCGCAGCCTCCCGAACAGCTCCTACAATCATTCAAAGCTGCTGCTCTATCCGTCACCAACCTTTACAAGAATGCTGTACTCGAACAAGCGCAGGCGAGACAAGCGGGTTATCAAGAAGCGATTGAAGATCTTCTTCATTTTCTAGACAGAGAAAACCTTGGTCTTGGTGATGGGGAAGGGTGGAGAGTACGACAGTGGGCCACTGAGCGAAGTGACGGACAAGGTACACCTAGTGACGATGACGAGCGTGGAGATCTCGAGAAGACCAGAAATACTTCGCAGGCCACAGTCCGTAAGGAGCAGCCAGATTCAGAAGCTGTCCGGCAGTCAACGAAGTCGGAGTCGCCTCAGAAACCTGGATTGTCTCAGCGGGACGAGCCTGCGGCCCCGGAGCAGCAGCCACCAGCGCTTTCTACCCCCACAGCCAACGATATCAACGGCTTGGATAGGCATACTGTTTTCACATTCACGGCAGGACCATCTTTCCCTCAATACCAGGAACACGACGTCGACATGCAAGCCCCGGATAGCTCTACAGCATCGTCTCAGGATAGTTCCCCCGTCAGCGTCTCCGTCTTGCCCCGAAACTCCCGACAGCAGAACCGCCAAAGCAACCTATCGCGACCGAATCCTCGAAACTCTCCCCGCGACTCATCTGTTGGAATAGGCTCGAAGCGGAAGCTCACGTTTCCCGACTTTTTTGACCTGTCCGGCATGGGAAACAACAAAGACATGTTTGGAGGCGGCAAACGCGGCCGCTTCGCCTAGAGAATATAATTGTCGACGACGGGACGAATTTTATTCTTTTAGTCACGCAGCGGTTGATTGATACTTTGGATTTTCGGTGCATTTGTGGGAGTATTAGTTGTGATTTCTGATACGCTTTTCTTCTGTGCATTTCATTATTATCTTCTGTTCTTACCTTCCTTCACATGATCACGCTTTCCAAAACCCTTTTCATGCTTTTGTTTTTTCATGCATTTCAACATATAGAGGATATCAGACATGGCGATACCCAGTGAGGCAGTTGTTGTGAACCTTGAATCGTATATATTTTGGATTTTGGTCTGCATGCGCGCCAAGGAATCCTTTGTCTTCCTTCTTCCCAGGACATAAAATATGCCATCGACATTCAATAATGTACATTATGAGCTTGTGTCAGCCATCAAACCACTACACCAAAAAGGTGTCTAGACGACCATTTCTAGCATAGTAGAAATGATAGGCTTATTCTAGTTGACAGCTTGTCACAATACCCAGAGCTTTGCTGCCGGTGAACTAATTCAAAGCTCTCCATACTCCCATGCCTACTAATGTTGCAGATATAGTTGCAATGCCCAATTTCCGAGATCCCATCTTGTATTTTGTCGCACTTCGCATGATTGTTTGTTCTTGCTTTCGTAGATTATTCATTCCCGTGTAGTAACTGTATACTCCAAGGCCAATGAACGCGGCCGAACCTGTGTGTCTTCAAGTAAGCAAAAAGCCACCCTCTACGCACAGGAGTAAAGAAAGGATGGGAGTGACGTACCTGTTATTCGACAGGAGAGGCAATCATCGTACTTGTCTTCGGCTAGAAGACGCTTTGCGTCTTTTGATTGAGCATCCCCAGCGCTCTGGCTTTCTGATGGCGCCATTTGTAATTCGGTCCTGATCAGCGTGCGAAGGTAGGTGTACCAGTCTCGGAATGGGATCGACTCCAGACACAGCCCCTGAAGTTAATCAGCGATCCAGATGGACATGAACTTTGAATGCTGCGAGGAGCTCCCCCCAACGCATTGTAAAAGTGCACGAGGCGGGATTCAGCGGCAGAAACACAGGGACATCTTTGAATGTCGTCAACCAGCGGTTGTATCTGATCTCCGCTAATGCTTCCCCACCGATAGAAACACTCGACACACCGGCATGATGAGCGGCGAGGTCGATGCGCTCTACATCTATGATGAGCACAAGTATGCGCTGTCTTTATAGTTTTCTTCATGGTTCAAATCCATTAGTGCTGACTGTCTGAGCTCTCAAGCAACCCGCTCGTGGAGCACGTATATCGCTCCCGTCCGCCCTCCGCGGCAGCTATCCTCCCCCTCTATCTCGCCCACTCACCCCCGCGTCCGTCACTCCTCTACATGCCAAATATCTCGCCCCCGGTGACGGTCTTCTCAATCGTACAGTCAAATCTGCTGTTTTTGGCTCTTTCCGAAGTTGATACCGAGCCGCTTCTTGCGCTGGAGTTCTTGTACCGAGTTGTTGATGTGCTCGAGGACTTTGTCGGGGCTCCATTGCTCTCCTCCAAGCTTCAGGCGAACTACGATGTGGTTGCACAATTGCTCCACGAAATGTGCGATGCGGGCATCGTGTGTAATACGGAACCAAATGCGCTTCAGGAAGTTGTGGAGATGCCGGGATGGATGGGGAAGTTGTTAGGAGGTGTTGGACTACCGGGGTGAGTATGGAGTTGTTGTTCGTGCAGGCCGGTCTTTTGATGCGGCTCTCTCAGAATCTGAAGTCCCTTACTGACCGGGTTACGCTGCGCACAGGTCGTCCACACCTATACTAGGGCCTCCCAACCCTCTGAAACACTCATTATCATCCGCAAATGTCGCACAGGGCCCTGCGATCCCTTGGAGAAAGGCTAATGTGCGGCACACGTCGAATGAGTTATACGTTGATATCATTGAATCACTCTCAATCACGATTGCTCCATCTGGACGGCTTCTGTCTGCACTGGTATCAGGAACCATTGCGTTCACGGCTAAAATATCCGGGATACCCGACTTGCTCCTCACATTAACCACTCCCAGCGGTCCCCAGGCTGTTGGGAAGAAGATAGACCTGCCGGTATTCCATCCCTGTGTCCGACTAGCTCGATGGAGGGAGCGACCTGGCGAACTCAGCTTTGTGCCTCCCGATGGACGATTTATTCTTGCGGGTTATGAGGTGGATCTGCTTCCTATTGATCCTAGTATCGACCAACCTCCCACGCATATGGAAAAGGTGTTCTTACCTGCCATTGTCGAAGTACGCAAATCACTCGGACCGACGGGATCGGAATTTGAGGTCCGATTGATCTTAAATACAAGCTTTCCGGGATACTCATCTTTCAACCGCCCCGGAGGAGGGCGGGGCGGATCTGGCACTTCCACTCCCTCGTTCCTTGGAGGAGGAGGGAGCTCCTCATCACCCATCCTAGAAGAAGTCGTGGTCACAGTACCAATACCGAAGACGGTTCGAAACATCACTGATATGCAGGCAAGTCGCGGAGAAGCAATATTCGCGCCCGGTAACGACACACTGGAGTGGCGCATACCTACCAAAGACTCCGGAACTGTTTCCGGTACAGCGACTCTTCGCTGCACGGTCGTCGGACACCAGAATGTGGAAGATGAGCTTGAAGAAGAAAACGAGGGGGGTGACGCAGACGCAAATCTCTTGCAAGGGTACTACGACGCCTCAACAGCAGCGTCTTACCAGGTCGCGGAGGAAGCCGCAACAGGTACAACGAAACGGAAAACGAAGAAAAAGAAGAAGACAACAAAGACAACAAAGACCAAGAAATCATCCAAATCCGCCGCCGCCAGCGCGCTCGTCGCCTCCGATCTCGACAACGTACCGCAAACCTCCCCCAATCCCTCTAAGCCTCAAAGTCCTGCACCTGGATCGTCGTCATCGCCAGCCGCACCCGCCCCTGCACCACCCGCCTCCCAGTCTTCATCCTCCTTATTTTATACACCACCTCGAAAAACCAAGGCACAGCTGAACGCCAGCCTTATGCCGAACTCCGCCTCTGTCTCATTCTCTGTCAAAGGTTGGCTACCGTCGGGGCTCCGAGTCGACAGTCTGAATATCGACCCGCGGCGCAGTCGAGGACTCGGAGAAGGCGTGAAGCCATACAAGGGCGTGAAGTATCTGTGTGTCAGCAAGAAGGGCGTGGAAGGGAGATGCTAAGCACAAATTCATCGTGCTACCTGGACAGAAGCTATCATTATCTAGACATGCATGAGATGAGCCATGATATATCATTACTTTGCAATATACGGTGTTCGCAGAATCTAGCTACGAAGATAAATTTGGGGGTTGAGGACTCGCAATGACAACAGTACATCTCCTGACATGAAACATGCGCACATTCAAGATCATCTGTCAGATTCAGGCTATATCATGGACCAATTTTGTATGACAGTACAAATAACAGAACGTGACAACAGTGCCGTATCGAGTAGCGATTTGCAACCGAGAAAAGAAACAGGTCCGTCACACCACCTTAGAGTTTCGATGATCGACGTTCGAGAATTTGCAGCACAAGGTAGGCCACTAAATATTCAGAGACGTAAGTAGATGTATTAAATCAAGATGATAGGTATTAGATGATTAGATCATTATCGATAGATGTCGGATGTGAGGGTATCTCCAAGCCGCCGGGTATCCAGAAATCATTCAAGGGGCCAAGAACTGAACAAAAAGCAAAAAAATGAAATACAGGGCAAGGAAATGTAGTAGAGCGAAGGGACGAGAGGAGGAAGACTCCTCGAGAGCGCTTTCAAGGTGCGAAGGGCGGAGCAATTCACTCTTTGTCTGCCGAGTAACGCGGAGAAGTGAGAAGTCGGGAACAACGAGTACTTCACTGGCAGCGAAGAGGCTTGTCGGGAGAAAGATAAAGAGAGATTACTCACCGGCTGCAGCAACTACGGCCCTGCCAGCACCAGCCTTCGCGGTTCCTCCGCCGAGGGTGAGGATGGTGCGTAGCCAGCCAAACCGGAGCTTATTGCCCTCGCGATCGAAATCGGGTACCATGGTGCTGGCGACCTTGAACTTGCTCAGTTTGCCGGCATACGGAGGGTACCGAATAGAAAGGATAGCCTCCAACCAGCCGGGGCTGGTGGTGATTGGGCGGCGATGCACGAAGACCTCGAAACTGGCCTTTCCTCTGTAGGCGCCGTGGCCACTCTCACCGACACCACCGAAGGGAAGCGTGGGGATGTGCAGGGCGGCATCGTTGACGGCAGCTCCGCCCGAGCGAGTCATGGAAAGGACTGTGGATTACGTCAGTTGGGTTGATCACATGGCAAGTATGGCTGCGCATGGGCAAGTGGTGGACTTACTCTTGTCGGTATCAGCCTTGTTACCGAAGGGGTATACACCCAGGGGGGTGCTTTGGATGCTGTTGGCGATATTAACGGCCTCTTCGAGGTTGTCGACGGGAAGGATGGGCATCAATGGGCCGAAGCTCTCCTGGATGATCAGAGAGTCGTCGGTCGAATCGACCTGAACAAGGGTCGGTTCGATGAATCTTTCGTTTTCGTCCATGGTTCCTCCCATGAGGATCTTTCCCTTGGAGTTATCGATCATGGACTTGAGTTTACGGAAGGCACCCTCATTGATGATGCGAGAGTAATCCGGTGATGCTTTAGCGCCCTGGGGGTAGAATTCTTTGTAGGCTTTCTTGAACTCCTCAACCACGGCGGGCAAGATAGCTCTGTCGACCAAGAGGTAGTTCTGCGATGTGCAAATCTGACCGGCATTCAGCGTTTTACCCCATAGCATACGGCGCGCGACCAGACGAGGGTTGGCATTCTTAGTGATGATGGCGGGGTTGATGCCTCCTAGTTCCAGCACAACGGGAGTCAGATGAGGAGCGGCTGCTTTGGCGATAATACGACCGACGTTGGCGCCGCCGGTAAAGAAGATCTTGTCCCATCGATCGGCAAGCAAGGCCTGAACCTCCGAGGGTCCACCTTGAACAATTGTATAGCATGACGGGTCGAGGGAGGCCT